CCCCAGGCTGTAAAGCCAAAGCAGTGTGACAGCATGGTGAGGCAGACATTGGGAGCTGCTCTGTGTCTCCTGAAGCATCCTAGGAAGGGAAAAACTTTTTGGCTCTCACTGCAGTACAGGGAGTGAGCCAGACTCTCCACCAGTGCTGAGAGCAAGGCAACTCAGGGATGGCAATATTACAAGAAAAAACCAAAACCACAAACAAAACCAAAAAAAGCCACTGAACGCTCCCCTCCCATGGTTCACTATGAATTTTAAAATAGGAGGTTTGGAGGAGCTTTGGCAGCAGGCAGAGATTAAGCAAATAATCACAGTGTGGGAACACAAGCTTTCCAATTTACCAAGTGCACTGTGGAGCTGAAGAGATCCCATACAGAGAAGTAACACAAATTAATTCAATAATGAGATGTTTTACTATTTACTTGGCTTATTTCATTGAGTAGAGGAGGTATCTTAAATACCAGGTTCAAGGCTTTTAAAGAAGGTATCAGTACAACAAAGGGAAGTGAAGGAACCAAAACACAGAGTGGTTGTTCTTGGTCAGTTTTTGCTTTGTTTGGCTTCTAAAGACAGCTCCTTGTGGCTGCAAACTCCTCAAGATCAAATTTAAAACTAGGAAGAGCCCTCTATACCCACCACACTTGCAGAGATTTTCATTCTGTCTTTGCAAGACCCTCCATATCTCAGAAAAAATTGTGCAAAACCATCCAAACAGTCCCCACCACTACTGGAAAGGACTTGGCAGAATGCTGGATTATGAAGGCAAAAACTGCATGGAAGTTCTTAGACTAAAGATGTAAATATAATATTTGGAATTTGCATGAGTAATTTCAGAATGTATAGTCTGAAGCTTCCTGTTCATGTAGTAAAACTTAATCCATTTCTAAACATTTCTGATTGAAGCAGGCTGAGTAAGAGGTTAAAACATGCAGGAGTAAAGTGATTACTGCCTCTCCCTAGGCAGTCATTAAAGTTCAGGATCAGTTAGCAACTGTGGTGGAGATTTTTATCTAGGAAAGCAGGTAAATAAAGTCACAAAACTTTGTGAAACCACAGTAGCAAACGTGACAGAGCAACTGTTGAGCCAAACAAAAAGCAGAGCAGAAAATAGCTCCATGGAGGGAATGTCTCTTTCCTGCCGTACGAATACAAAAAAAATTAATTTTCTACACAGACTCCATGGCCAGCAGAATGAATTTGAAAATGAAGAATATTTTGTTCTCTCTCAACACCTTACCCAGGAAAAATCACCAGAAACACACTGCCCTGATATTCTGACCTTCAGAGCATATTTCAACTTCAATTCTATTTTTAAATTAATTGCTGGGAAAAGGCATGAGTCACAGCCCTGCTTGGATCCCCCTGCACTGGACACTCACCAAGGGCTGTGCTCATTCTGAACTTTCCCAAGTCACAGCAGGCTCCTGCTTTAGCACGTCAGTGTGAAGAAGAAGGTTCAGCTCCCTCAGCCAGCCAGGAATTCTGGCCTCTGTGCCCCCCTTGACCTTCCCAATTCTGGCACAGATGTTTGCTGCACACATCAGGGCGCTCTGGGATGCTGCACAGTGTTTCTGCCAGGAAGGGATCCCAGCTCAGCTGCACCTTCCCTGTGCTCAGGCTGCAGTGCTGACTCAGTGAAGATCAACAAAACCTACAGAGAGGCCTCAGGGAAGCACAGGTGAGAATTCAGGCTCTGCACTTACAGGTGCAGCTGGAATTTGAAGGGTCCCACAGTCAGGCACCTGGAGAAAGCCCCAGTTGCAGCACTTGGAGAAGGGGAAATGTGCAGGCAGTGACTTGATTTGGGACTCTTCCTGACTGGGCTTTCTGCACTCAGCTCACTCATCTCCTCAGGACAGGTGAGCTCTCCTCAACTTTCCAGGTGGGCCCTTCCCAAATGGCTCATGGGGGGTTTGGGCTCTGCTCCCAGGAACAGGGACAGCACAAGAGGAAAAGGGTTCAGGCTGGACCAGGACACCATGGACCATGGACCATGGACACCATCCATGTGCTCATGGGGGTCAGCAGCCTGTGTGCTTCAGCTTTGTGCCCTCCCCACACCGAGTTCAGGAGCAGCCAAATGATTATGTATGCAGTCACATTTTGGATTTTTTGATTTCCTCTTCTTCCTGTGTCATGCAGTTCATTCCCTGCTCCACACTCCCCTGGCACTGTGGATGTCAGAGGCAGTGAGGCCCATGCTGCTGACTCACCTACACAAACCCTCAGCAGTTTGATTGGGTCCAGGCTCTTCATTACAAAGAAGCCTTTTAAGACATCAGAAATAAATCATCTGCCTGGTTGCCTTTAATGAAAGCTCTGCTGCACAGGAAAAAGGGGGAGGGAGCATGAAACAATATCCATGGTGGAACAGCCAAGGCAGAAAAGAGGGATGTCTGAAGAACAGAATGAAAGACTTGAGAATTAAGTCAAGAAGAGAAACAATAAAGTATGGAAATGGAGCAGGAAGGTATAAACAGGAAAGTTACAAATGGAATGAAAGGCTGAAGTGACTTTTTTTGGTGAAAGAACAACCACACCTCATTAGGACAAAGAGGCAGTGACTTATTCCCATGTCCCAGCTTCCCGTGCAACAATCCCCGGTTATTTTAGTGGATTACAGCTGTAAGAGCACAAAAAATCATTTCCACACAACTGCTGGGGACTTCAAAAGCAGCTAACAAGGCTGAAATCAATCTCTCTTCCCTTAAAAGTTTTACATAGCAAAGCTCTGTAACAACTGCCCCAAGTAGTCTCTTAACAATGGTGAGGAGTTCACAACGAGCTGCTCAGGGCTATGATTCATTCGTGGCTCTCTGCCAGAAAAATAAATACATTCAAGCCCAGTGGCCCCAAGGGGAAAGGTAGGCCACTCTTAAAAAGCTCAAGATGAATGATTTACAGAGCAGAATCCAGTTTTCAGCCAATATGGATGAGGAGGAAGGACTTTTTTACATCTCCCAAAGATTTAATGCACAGACTTGGATACTGGCAGTGCATCAACAGATGGAACTATCGAGCTGGGATTTGCAAAACTCACTGCAAAGAGCAAGAAATGACTTCTTCTATTGCTGTGCACAGAGTTCATAAAGCCAAGCCGAGCCCTGCAGCGGGGATCCAGCAACACAAGGCAAACAGAGGCGGCTCAGGTTACAGGAAGTGCAGTCAAGTCCCACCTGTGCAGGACAGAGGGATCCTCTGGCACGGTGACAGTGACAGCTCAGGGCAGGGCCTGACTCCACACAGCCTCTGCTGCACATAAAAAGAGTTAATTGGCTGCTAAACAGCCAGCAGGGCTTCACTCTTTTCCTTTCTCCCCACAAGAACATTGTTTCTGGGTAAATGCTCAGGCAGCAAGGTGCAGGATGGAGCCTGGGCTCTCACTGTGGCAGTGAGGCCAGCTCATGTCACCAGCCTGGTGTGTCACTGCCCTCTCATGCTCTGAGCCTCCATTCCAGCAGCCTTCAGAAACACCAAACCCCACTTTTAAGTGTGGCTTTAACATTCAGAACATTCTCTTTAACTGTATTCCAAAGGCCTTTTAAAAGAAAGCTGCTTTGAAATGCTACCAACTGCATTTCAGCATTAAAAAATTCCAGATTTACCTGGAAGTGACTTAAATCCCCTAGTTCCATTTTTTTATAAAATAAACTTTTCAAACTGGGGACTTTGACCTCTTACTAATAGGGCCAGAGAATGCCAGGGCCATACAAACATTCTTTGCCCCCATAAAAAGGTTGTGCCATCAGCAAAGGGACATTTGAGGGGATTTGTTTCACACATTCTATCACCAATGGATAATGCAAAGTGTGAGGAACCTGCCTCTGACCTTAGAAAGTTTCCCAGTTATTTATTTCCTATTTCAGAGTAACTATTTCCTGAGTCTGGGTTAAAATTTCAAACTCAAATATTTAAAAATAATCAATACTTAAAAGTTTCCTTGTGATTAAAGCAAGTCTGTATGAGTCCTATTCCATACAACAATTTATTTTTTATTGTCTTTCTTAAATTTATGCTCTGAAATTCTCCCTGGAAACAATTAGCAGACAAATTCACTGAAATTATGTATTTTTTAAAGTGAGATCATTAAATCAAATGTAGCTTTGAGAGATGGCCCTGATGATCACATAATACACAAGATAAAAACAAACATGCTGATCAGGAAAGATACATTTTATTTCCTTTTTTTTACCATTAAATTATTTTTATCATTGACAGTCTCACAAGGAAAATGAAACCTTACCTGAGTTTATTTCTATTAAGGAAAATTTCCCAAATTAGCAAACCCACCTGAGTCAGTGTGAAAAAAATTCTATTTATAAAAGATCGTCCCAGTTTATAGCACCAGACATGGTTAGTGCCAGCAATGCCCATTCCTTCATGGCATGATTAATGCAACAAGTCATGTAAAACTCCAATTCTCTTTGGTTTAGCTCATTTAAATGAGTTCAAGTTTCATCTTTGTGGGCAGCATTTTAAGGGGAAAAAAATATAATCAAAGAATTAATCAAGCTGTGCTTTTGTTCATAATATTCCAAATTTTCAAGTGTTTTGATGAAATCTTCTGCAAAACAATAAATACTGTCTAAATCTGCCCAAAGAGATCCATGGAATTCTGATTTTCTTTCCAACTCTGGCTCTTGTGACAACACCCAAGAACTGGGCACTTTTCATCTCAGCCTCATGAGAGGAACACACAAATTTATTATTATTAAATATCCTTATTAATTAATATTATTAAATATCCTTATTAAAGGGATGTGACACCTGCCAAGCTGCTCTTTTCCCTCTCCCACACTGGGGCAGTTTTTGAGATTCAAGATGTCACAAGGAGCATCCTCAGAGGAATTCCAAGGGTGAAAATGTCAGAGGGCAGTTTCATATCTAGTGAAATCTCAATGGATTCTTCAGTTCTGGAAATCCCTGAAAGAATAAATTTGGGGTATTGATAATTTTGAGACTCTGAGGGTACTTTGGGAAGTAAAACTGTCACCATATAAAAAATGAGTCACTTTGGGTTTTAATCCATCTGTACAATCAATCTTTTTTACTCAGGATTCTTCAAAATCCACAGGAAAATTCACTTTAGTATTTACAGAGTGCAATTCCTTTGCCCTATTGCCAACAAACCTCCCATTAAAAAAGTTCCTATTTCATTAAGAAAATTGTGCATGTAAATCATCAGAACAGACTTTTTAAATACACTGGAATCTTCTCAAGTATGCAAAGTCACATCTGCAAAACATTTAGAGAAAAAGTACCATTTATTTACCCATACACAGTATGTACAGACTCAGGATGGCTTCTTTAACTCTCCCTTTGCCATCTTATATAATTTCTTCAAACTGTAGATCACAGATTTCTTTGCCCCTAAAAAAAGAAGAAAAAAAGAGGAAAAAATATCAACATTTAGCAGAAGGTGCTTAGTGCATCAAATGAAGGATTGAATGACAGCCTAATCCAGCAGGCAAACATGCAAATAACCTTCCTGTCACAGGCACAACACAGTAAATAATGCCACCAAAAATACTTTTAATGCTGTCAGAGCAGAGCAAATAGAGCAGAATTCTGGTAAATTCCATGCCATGGCATACAATAAAGGCAGACATCTCAATTTTCAGAGCAGCAGCAGTTCTTGCCTACAAGCATTTATGAGTTTTAGATATGATGGGACTGAGGATGAGTCCCACAAAATTTGTAAAATGTATCCTTGGAGTTAATTTCTGAAGTTTTAGCAGACATGAGCCTCCTCTTACAGACCTAGAGTAAAAACCCACAGCCTTTTGCTGGGTTTAGTCACAGAGTATTTATAAATTTTACAACAAATCACTGTTAGTCTTGGCATTTCAGGGGAGTTCTGAGATCCCAGCCAGTGCAGCTACTTGCTTTTCCTTTTTTGTTTAAAAAAAATCACCCCAAACCAAACAAATAAGCCCAAAACTACACAGAGTGATTGCTCAGATTACAGCACAGTCTAATCACACCCTCACAAATTCAGAACTCAAAAGGCAACTTTTTAGTGCTGCATAAAAAGCTCTAATTTTGACATGTGCACAGATTTAAGGTGCAGTAAATTATATTTACTACAATCTTTCCTATGTTTATTTAATTAAACACCTGACAAAACTGACTAAAAACACACAAGGAATTTAGCCAAAAGTCACACAACATCACAGCCCAGAACACAAGGAAAGATTTGCAACAAACAAGGAACCACAACCTAAGTTTAGCCACGTGCTGCACTGGATTTCTTTAATTTTTTGGGGGGGCATACTAATACCTGACTTGGAAAGACCTCAAGAAAAAGGAAAGTGAAAGAAAGAAATCAATTAAAAATATAATATTTCAAGTGATAGATGCATTCAAATTCAAGTTGCAAGAAGACAAATGAGTTGGCAGCAAGAAGGAAAGGTGCACACTCATTTCTGAAGGAATGTGGCACAGTAAGAAGCCCCTGATAACAAACAGACTGCAGAGAATCAGTTCTGCATTTCTCGTGCCTCCAACTGCAATTTAAATAAACTCAACTTCACCTTGGGTAGGAAAGCATCCATCCCAGTATTTTGAACTGACAAACCCATGTGTATCCCATGTGTAAGCTCCAACTTTTCCATATTTACCAGGTTTTTGCAAAAGCAAGCACACTAATGAAGTCATGACAGGCTTTTCTTTGCAGCATCTCAAATAACAAATAAATAACCATGTAAATCCTCAAGTGCCTGACAAATCTGCATGGAGATTGCACACAGAGCAGCAATTCCTGCAGCAGCACAAAGCCAGCCTGAGCTCTGGCACAGCACAATGAGAGAAGTTAGAATTGTGTAAGTGTGGCTCTGGAAATGGCCAAGCTGCAGGATGCAGCCACTCTGAGAGAGGAAATGCTGCTCTGCCACTGCAGTGAATTCCAGCTGCTTCGGGAAGTGCAGTGCAGCGTGTGGGAGATCCAGGATCCAGGCACTGCTGCAGGACTGCAGGGAATGGTGCAGGCACTGCAGGGACACTGCTGCTGTCAGCCTGTAGGGAGATTCCTGCTCTCAGCTGCAGGGAGATTCCTGCTCTCAGCTGCAGGGAATGGTGCAGGTACTGCAGGGACAGGGCTGCTCTGAGCTGCAGGGACATTGCTGCAGGACTGCAGGGACACTGCTGCTCTCAGCCTGCATGGAATGGTGCAGGCACTGCAGGGACAGTGCTGCTCTCAGCTGCAGGGAATGGTGCAGGCACTGCAGGGACACTGCTGCCCTCAGCTGCAGGGACACTGCTGCAGGACTGCAGGGAATGGTGCAGGGACACTGCTGCTCTCAGCCTGCAGGGAATGGTGCAGGTATTACAGCCTGCAGGCACACTGGAGATAGATTCCTGCTCTCAGCCTGCAGGGACACTGCTGCTCTCTGTAGAGGGATAGAACACAAGTAAATAAAGGTAGTGTAGAAAGTAATCTTACCCCCTAAAGACTTGCAGCTTAACTTTTAAGGATTAGGAGCAGGCCTGATGTTACCAGGCCACACCTATAGCCAATAAGAACAGTGTTATAACAGAGTGGATTGGTGACAGCTGGAGTCAGTTGGCTGCTGTGAGGATAAGGGAGAGTGTCAATGCCTGGAGGAGCTGCCTACAAGAAATGTCAAGGAGGTATGAAACTCTGGCAATATGGAACTCTTGCAGTATATATGACAACAGCTCTCAGCTGCAGGGACACTGCTGCTCTCAGCCTGCCCACCAGCACATCCCTCCCATCCCTCAGAGCTCCACCCAGGGCACAGAAGGAGCTGCTGGCCCCACTGCCCAGCACAGGTCTGTCCATCCAGCTCAGCCTCTCCCCAAAGCAGCCCTCAGGCTGATGAATCCCAGCTGCAGGAAAAGTTCATGGCTGTAATTACAGCTCTCTCTCAGAATCTGAAGCACTTGGACCACATGAAAATGTCTGTTACTTCAGCTCTGAAGCTGTGACTCGGTGGTTGCACCTCCCCTTTAGATTTTCCACTGGAGGACACAGAACAAAGCCCTGATGCACAGGGGACCGAGCCCACAGCGTTTGTGCAAACACAACCCGTGTCTGATTTCACTTAACCATCCACACTGAGTTTTCTGCAAGCCTGGGAGTCCCCAAAAGTGTCCTGCTAGGATTGCTATCGGGTTAAAGGGTAGATAGAAGTCCAATTGTGCCAGGAACCCTCGTCTTAAAAAAGGAACCCACTTGCCGCGGCAAAATGTCCAGATATGGACAACATTGGAACCAGACCAGTGAAGAGATTTTTGCTTTTATTTCCAGCACATCAGTCTCAAGAAATACAATGGAGACATGATGTTAACAGCTCACTGATCCACACAAAATGTCCCCCGAGGGTGGGGTGATACAGAAAGACATAAAATCATCTCAGTCTAGATTTCAGCCAATCATACACAGAAAAACACATATTGATAAGCATTCTATCCAATCTTATAAAACACACGTAATGGTAGCTAAAACAAAGACTGGTACATAAGAGACAAAGAACAGAGCTCTATTCATGCTAACCTTCTAAAGATATACATTAAATAACCTTGTTGCCATCCTAAAGCCAATTCTACAGAGGCCTGCTGTTATTTGTCATGTATGCTCTACTGCTTGGGAAGCTTTTCTGCTGTATCTGCAATGCTAACAGAACTTCAGTCTGAGGCCTACATACTTTTTTTAGCCATTTCCTAAAAAACCTCTAACTTTATGGATTCCAACAATTGCCTTTGGATGGATGTACTGCTAGACAAATATATAATTATTTGTTGGGGCAAATAATTCTATATTTGTAGTGTGGCACACACAGATACATGCATATTTACAGATATTTACACTGAAGCCAGCACATCTCTTCCTGCCTACAAGTCATGCCACAACACTTAAAGTGATGGAACACAGTGTGGCTTGATAATCCAGAAGGAAAGAAAAAGGAAAGATTTGGATTTTTTTTGCCTTTCACCCAAGATCTGGGAAGTTTTCTGGCTCTTATGACCTAAAAATTTCTGTTTGGGGAGAAAATTGTCACAGAAAATCTCTATAGGTCTTCTATGTGAGGATTCAAACTAGAATTCAAACTAGAGTTCCAAGTAGCTCTTGGAGGTGTCTGCATGGATCTCTCTTACAGGACACAAACATTCTGTGAAATCAAGACTTTAGCTGATAAAGAGAGCAGTTATCACAAAACCTGAATATTTGATATGTAAGCCTGCTCCTTAAAAACAAAAATCCTTGAAAACAAATGCTATTCAGAACATTTGTCCTAACTTAAAAATATCTTGAACAAATGAAACCTGCTCCTTTAAGAAAAAATCCTTGAATTCTTGAAAATAAATGCTATTCAGAACATTTGTGCTACCTTAAAAGTATCTTGGACAAATCAAACTGCTCCTTTAAAAATAAATCCTTGAATTCTTGAAAATAAATGCTATTCAGAACATTTGTGCTACCTTAAAAGTATCTTGGACAAATGAAACCTGCTCCTTTAAGAAAAAATCCTTGAATTCTTGAAAATAAATGCTATTCAGAACATTTGTGCTAACTTAAAAGTATCTTGGACAAATGCTTCAATTGATGATTTATGCTGTAAGGCTGTATTTATAGAAAAATTTTCAAAGCTTGCAACATTCCTTGAGTAAAATATAAAGAAGAAAGAAGCTAAAGAAGTAGCAACATTTTCAGAGGAGCTAAATATAAGAGTTGCAGAGAGAGTTCCCAAAGGCCAGGCAGGCTCTGGCTATGTGGGAAAACAAATCAAAGCCTGGTGCCATCTCTAATGGGAAACAGAGAGGCAACCTCAGCACAGCCTCAAAGAAACACACAGGCACATTCTCAAAAACTAAACAGGGCATTTAACAACAAACAAAAACACAGAGCTGGGGCTCCACTTGGAAACCACACTGGCAGAGAAAGATGAGAAAAGTTCTCTTAAATGGCTTGAAATTCCTTCTTGTGCTCCTTGCCAGTGATGTTCATACCCAGCATGGCATCTGAGCACAGCTATTGCTGGTTGACCTCTGAATTTAGAAATGCTGGACATTGCACTGCCCTGCTGTGGCCCTGAGCAGGCACCTCACCTTTGCTGGTGGTGTTAAGATAAAATAATCAGCTAAAGAAACCAGATTGTGTTCCCTAGAACACTTCAAAAAGAGTCGTGGCCAGCTAATGAAAACATTTTTTTGCAGCTTTACAAAGTACTTGTACAGTTCTTAGGAACAGCAATAAAAAGTCAAAGCTCAATGGAGCCACAGATTTCATCATTCTCTTTTATTTTAAGCTACTATTCTGACACAAGCACTGCAGAAGGTCAGAGCCTTATATTTTTCCTCAAGTCTTTACTAGAAAGTGTGAAAATAGGTCTTGGGGGACCAGAATATTAGACAAGATTTGGAAAAAGAATAAAGAAAGAAATGCAGCATCCTTAGGGACTGGATTTAAAGCTCCACATTTCCCTGTAAAACACATTCCTTGCCTGAGTCAAGCAAATATTTCCATGCAGGAGCCACATTCCTGATTTCTCTGTGTAAATTCTGTATCCTATGAACATGGAGAGCCCCAAGAGCTGCCCCAGTGAGGCATTTGAAATTAAGAAACCATGACTGGGAGAAAATCTTCATTAGGAGATACTGACAGATTTAATATAAACGCAGATTTAATGTAAACTCATAAGTGTTTGGAGATAAATATTTAAAAAAATTAAAATTGCAAAAGGTTTTTGCTAATTAACTCTAAAGCCATGGACACCACCCCTGCGCAATTCCAGGGCAGATCACACCAACATCACACCTCAAAAATACTGAGGTGACATCCTTGAGCAGTGAAATTTCACTCCTGAATTCTGTCACTGATGGTTTTCACCAGATTCTGGCAGACAAGCGTAAATACATAAAAAATAAAACCCCAAAAAACCCCCAAAACTAAATAATGGAAAAAGTAAGAAAAATCCACTCCCCCAAACCTCCTTGCCTTAATTGGGCTTGTGCTGGAGGAAAAGGCCCAAAATTGCTTTGCTCTACCTAAACCAAATCCCAAAAATATGTTTGCACCACTAAAACCACGAGGAGAAAATAGTTTTTACATAAAACTCTACACAACTGATTAGAAGGAAACACCACTTTGTTTGAAAGAGAAAAAAGCCACTACATACAAAGCAAAATCAGTTAAGGATTTTGGGAAATAGAGACATTTCCCAAAGAACTGATTTCAGGTGCATGAAGTAGAATGATAAAAAGTGATAATAAAATTACTATAAAAATGATAATAAAATGATGATAAAATGATAAAAAATGATGACAAAAATGCCAAGTGTTACTCAAAGACCCATGAGGACTCCCCAAAATGTCAGTGATTGAGTGCATCACACACAAGGGGAGCTGAAGAGCCTCAGAGGTGATTTATAACCCCACAGTTGAACCATTTCTGTTCTACTCCTGCACTTACCCAGCTCTGGGACACCTTGAATTCAAGGGAATAATTTGAATTCAACAGGAATAACACTGGTTATAACTTGAATATAAGAGGAACATAACTTGAACATAACAGGAATACCACTGGAATAACTTGAATTCAACAGGAATAACACTGGAGGGGTCTTATCCCTCTCTTCCAATTCTTTTGCTCCACAAAATCTCCTCTGCCCAGCTCCAGGACAGAGAAAATGAAAGTGATGTTGTTTGGTTTGTTGATTTAAGAGTCACACAGACTCCAGTCCCTCTCAGCATTTTATAATTTTGCAAGAAAGCCTCTGCTTTAAATGCTGCTTTTATTTTCTAGGGACTTTTAATGAAACACACAAAAATTTTATTATTTAAGCTCCTGTAAGAAGACTATTTTTTGTCATTTTTGCTGTGTGAAATCAGCAGGCCCACACTGACAGACACCCCACACATTCTTACCAGCTGTCAGGATGGTTTTAGCACTCTGCACTATACTGGAGGATCTCACAATTGCTGAAATGCCTGCAGAGGGAAAAGCACACAGATGTTACCCATCCAGCACTTGTGTGGGGATTCTTTGCCCCTCCACCATGCACAAGTTAAATATTGTTCCACTTATACAACCAAGCCAGCCTGAAAGTAAAACATACACTGAGAAAATTTGGGTTTGCTCTGCTTTTTCATACTAATTAAAAGTATTCCCTAAACTATTTTAATTTCTTTTATATGTAACATACAGATAAAATCCCAAATCAGTATTAAAACAGACAAGAAGCAGTAGGAATTGATCAAACCCATTTATTTAGTGTTCCCATTAGCTCTCTGCTAAGATGATTAACCACAAAGGATTCAGAGTTGTTTCATCTAAGTGCTGGTAAATTAACATTCTGGAGCAGAACAAATGATCCTCCCTGTTTACTTCAACATGAAATTGGGATTTGGCACTTCTCTGCTCAAGCAGAGACACCTCTATTGTGCAGCTCTTCCCTGGCTTTCCTAAATTACAGCTTTTGGAGATAAGGTTTGTTTACCACTCTGCACTGTGGCACATTCAGTTGTCACTGTCCAGGGGTTCTTAATAGAGCAGTTTAAAAAAATCTTAATTTTTTTTCAGAACTATGAAGTTGTATTTGTTCTAACACATATAAAAGCATATTGATAATGTACAAACTATTCACATCACTGAATAACTGAAACAAATGCAGAGCTGCAGCAGTCTCAGAGCTAATCTTCCAAATTGACACATTCTGCATTGACCCACAGAATATAATTTCAAATATTTTTAAATCTTGCTTCCATGTTGAAGAACAAAGCTTAACATAATCAATGTGTAAGTAAGGATACAATATTCCACTGTAAAATCATGTGAGGGGTAGTAACAGGGAAGGGAAAGGGATAAATTGTGTTGATGTAGCAGAGTATCTTGGGACAACACAATTCAACTTGAGTAATCAGCTCTGTCTTGTAGGATTCTCAAATGGCTTAGCCTGGCCTTTACCCAGATTGATAAATTAGGAAAATGCTTTGGTCACAAAAGTGAAAGAATATCTTGATGTGTCCTGCTAAGGGTTTAAAGTGCAGGGCTGAGAAGATGTGCCCAGTCTGCTACAGAAACACAAGCACAGCACCACCAGAGCTCTGTGTGCAGCTCCAACCTGCTCTGTGTGCAGCTCCAACCTGCTCTGTGTGCAGCCCCAACCCTGCTGTATGCAGCTCCAACCTGCTCTGTGTGCAGCTCCAACCTGCTCTGTGTGCAGCTCAAACCCTGCTCTGTGTGCAGCTCCAACCTGCTCTGTGTGCAGCTCCAACCTGCTCTGTGTGCAGCTCAAACCTGCTCTGTGTGCAGCTCAAACCTGCTCTGTGTGCAGCTCCAACCTGCTCTGTGTGCAGCTCCAACCCTGCTGTGTGCAGATCAAACCTGCTCTGTGTGCAGCTCCAACCCTGCTGTGTGTGCAGCTCCAACCCTGCTCTGGGTGCAGCTCCAACCTGCTCTGGGTGCAGCTCCAACCTGCTCTGTGTGCAGCTCCAACCTGCTCTGTGTGCAGCTCAAACTCTGCTCTGTGTGCAGCTCCAACCTGCTCTGTGTGCAGCTCAAACTCTGCTCTGTGTGCAGCTCAAACTCTGCTGTGTGTGCAGCTCAAACCTGCTCTGGGTGCAGCTCCAACCTGCTCTGTGTGCAGCTCCAACCTGCTCTGTGTGCAGCTCAAACCCTGCTGTGTGTGCAGCTCCAACCCTGCTCTGTGTGCAGCTCAAACCCTGCTGTGTGTGCAGCTCAAACCTGCTCTGTGTGCAGCTCCAACCCTGCTCTGTGTGCAGCTCAAACCCTGCTGTGTGCAGATCAAACCTGCTCTGGGTGCAGCTCAAACCTGCTCTGGGTGCAGCTCAAACCCTGCTCCTGCTCCCAGACCCAGCTTTTATCCCTTTGCTGCTCCAGCCCAGCCCAAGAGAAGCTGAAAGCTCCATGTCCAGGTGCAGCTCATTCCAGGCTGTCCATGCAGAATTGCAGCACCCAGGAGTTTTATTTCCCCCACAGAAATCAGGCTGAGAGCTCCCTCAGCTCCCTGCTTAGTGTCTGGTGTCTCCCATGAGCATCTTGTGCTCAAGGAGCTTGCAAAATTTCCTACCTGGAACATAAAATGTGCCAGGTTCTTCAAATGCACAAAGGACCCCAAGTACCAAACTTTTTCATTTTCCTGCAGTGTAGCAGAGCACTGGTGTGTGCAGCATCAGCTTGAACTTGCTCATATGACATAATGGTGCCTCAGAGCAGTTGTGCTGATGAGAAGCACCTCAGCCTTTCCCCTCCAGCTGGAGCTCCCTGCCAGGGCTCACATGTCTGGGCTAAGCACCATGACTGCCAAGGGAAATGTCAGCAAGGCAGAGAATTACCTCAGCCCTGCAATCTCTGACTGGGAGGATAGAAAGCTCAGTACTTTGATGAGGTTTTGCCTGAAAATGGAAGCACCAGAGTTGGGTGATCTAAGCAGGCCACACTATTATTCCTTAGGATCCAAACCAAAACACATCTTTCTGTATCACTAGGAATGCTATTGATAATATTTCAGATAACCTGTCTGCAACCAAATCCAAACTCAGGCTTTCAGGAATGTATCTTATTATTATTATGTCCAGGATTTTTTCACCCTTTTCTTTAACTCACCCTCCTCTTTAACCCACCTGAAACAGGAGAACACATACAATAGATTTGTGTATCTATCATGTTTTAAAGGAGATCACAGACACTGGGCCAGACCTACCTTGATGCACCAGATATCCACAGTCAGGGTCATGGGCAACTTGCAGTAAAATTTCTTCCACATCTCTGTTCTTTCCAGGAGGGTTTACCAGAGCAGTTATCTGTTGTTGCAGAGTCTTTGGCAAAGCCATGAGTTGTGTAAACTGACCTTCTGGACTTTTATCAATCTGAATGTTATAAAAGTAAGACATTAAAAACATTCAGTTCTCTTTTTTTTTTTTAAAGAAGTTAGAAAATTGACCTCTGATAAATCTCACAGAACCTGATCCATTTCACTAGAAAAGGTCCTTGACAATGGTAATAAAAACTTCCCAAGAACAGGGAAATGCAACATCTCAGTTTCCAACTTGAAGAATGAGTCACTGCAAGGGTTTTTATTCAAAGAAGACACACATGATCTTGCTGTGTCTGCAAGCAAATGTTCATTGAAATTGTATCATTTCTGTTGTATCCAATTTCCTCTGGAAACACAAGCTCAGGACAATAAAAAAAAGCTCCCCAAAGACCCCTCAGCTGAGTTTCTTCTGCCTGAATATAATCAAACTGCAGACACACACACTTCAAGTTTAGCTAGAAAACCATTTTCTCTGCTTTAAACTCCAGAGCACATCTGGTTTGTATAATCTGAAGCAAACATTCATCCCACATTTTGCAATCTCAATCAGAAATCCAAGGAGCCTTTTTTGAATACAATGATAGCACCGTGCAGGCCTGGACAGATTTCTCCAAACTGCAACGCACCGTGGGGCAGAGCTCTCCAAGAGAGGAGGAAAATCTGAAGAGCTCCATTCCTCCCACACAAGGTCTTAGCCACTTCATGGAGACATCAGACAGCAGCCTGATTGCCCTCTCCACTCCCTTTTGTCAGTGTGGAGAAAATGATCTCCAGATGAGTCAGCCACAACTGCAGAGGCAGCGAGAGGGAGCAGCTCTGAGCTATGTGTGGGAGGAAGCAGAGCCTGAACCGGGCTCTGCCTCCCCTGCTGCTGAGGGACCCCTGAACAAGGAATTCTCTCTGTAGCTCTGCATCTCCTGAAAAAGGGGGTTCCATCCTGTTCCTGCACCCCCAGCAGCACTCAGCCAGCCCTGAACAAGGAACTCTCTCTGCAGCTCTGCATCTCCTGAAAAAGGGGGTTCCATCCTGTTCCTGCACCCCCAGCAGCACTCAGGCACCCCAATAAGCACAGCAAGGTGTGAGCAATAAAGTGTTAAACACTTGCTTGATTAAATGCCGTCATTTTGCTGTCGATTTGAAGCAGTCTTGATGACTGTTATGGGATTGTGGAGAGATTTATTAGCCAGCAATAAATGTGCAGTATGCTACCAGGATTTGTTTAAAGGAAGCATTTGTAATTCTTTCCCAAATTCATTTAAATATTTCTTGCACCAAACTGTTCACAAGCAATAAGAAAACTTGGAGACAGCTGCAGGATAATACAGTTTTTGGCTGTATTTTACCCCAAAGCATTGCAGTGAAAGTGTTTACTGTACTCAAGCCTGCAGTTAAATGAATTTCTAACAAAGACACATCCTAAAAGGTGGCATTTGAGACAGAATTACCAAAGCTTGAGAATAAAGAGATGCCCACATCCATGAGACAAGTGGTGCTATTTGTGACTTCACCATGAAGTTCAGATCACACTTGAACATTACAAAAGGGAAAATTGCTACTGACTGTGGCATCTCTCCCCTAGCTGCAATGTTACACCAGAAAAATGGAATTCAAGGTATTGATCGCTTAGGATTTCTCAAAAAAGCTAAGGAAAAATCATTTTGTATGGGTATTAATGCCAGAATTTCACTTGGGTTTAGTCAGGTGATATTCATAGTTAGAACTTGAGGATTTTTGGATTTCTCAAAAAGCTGAGGAAAAATGGGTTTGTGTGGGTATTAATACCAGAATTTCACTTGGGTTTAGTCAGGTGATATTCATAGCTGGAACTGGAGGATTTTTAGATTTCCCAAAAAGCTAAGGAAAACTGGTTTTGTATGGGTATTAATGCCAGAATTTCACTTGGGTTTAGTCAGGTGACCTTCCTAGCTGGAACTTGAGGAGGTTTTTTGTGAGATGCAGTTTTTGATTGCAGAGCTGCACCTCTGAGTTACAGCCTAACCCCTCTAACACAAACCATCTGTTGATTCCTCACTTCCTAGCCTGTCATTTCCATGTGGAATCCATTAGAACACACGTTTTACTGCTCTGCTTCCCTTGCTGGGGTCTAGTCTGTGCTCATACTCACAGAAAATGAGCAGTAACTCCTCCATATAAAAACCTGGTATTTAAAGCAAGTCTGCTGGCTGCAGAATGAACCAAACAACAGAAACACAACAAACAGCAAGCACAGAGCCTACAGCTGCTCTCCTGGTGCGTGGCACAACCCCTGCCTTCTGCCAGTGCTGAAGCCTTGTTAGAAAGCTGTTGCAAGGAGAACACTTGCCTCAAGCCTTCCCTGCTGGTGCTTGTACACCACTTGAGGGCAGCCCTGCAGTATGGAACTGTACAGCTTCTGGAAATGGGCAATGTTGGGCTGCACTATGTTGTGCACTTTGAATCTGTCTTCTCCTATTATCATTCTGAAATCACCTAGGCAGGAAAAGAGAGAGTTAAGCCATTAGGAAAACCCCAAAAACATGAAGGAGAATATAACAGAAATCAACATAGTACAGAGCTGTCATTTAAATCTCTGCTCTCCAATATTAAGTATGCCAATATAAGAGTCAAATAAACTATTCAAACACCTTCAAGCACAGAAAAAACATCAAATATATATATATAATAATATGTTTGATATACATATTATATATATATATATATTATATTATTGATATTATATAAATAATAATAATATTGAAGGCACATATTTTTACATACATATATATATATATATAGCCTCTGATACAATGTCATCAGTCTACCTGTCCACATCTTCACTTGGAAACAAAATAATTCTAGCTGTCAAGTAACAGTTACAGTCTTTGCAAACATAACCTCAGTCTCAACAATTACTAAACAAATTGCCCAGTCCTCATACTTTGTGTCCATAAGAAAATGAGCTGAAATGTTCCAATGTGAGAGGTAATAATTTGCATTCTGCACTCCAGGGGCAGTACCTGGAGTTCAGCTAACAGCAGTCACTGTAAGATCACTGGATCACTTTTTCTCTTAGCTATGCATTGTGTCAGTAGTTCCAAAAAGCAATTCCTTTTAACAGCACTGTTACATTACTGGCCTTTACACTTTCTTTTCAGATACATGACTGTAAGTTTCAAAGAGAACAAATGAAAAGCCAGTCAGTCTGTATGAAAGCACTCCACTACCTCTGTGAGGTACCAGCCTGGCTGCTTGCAGGGTTTCCAGCCAGGAGCTGGATGCTCAGTGTAGCTTGTACCAACCAAAATTCTGAATCAATTTCTTTTCCCACTTCCCACATTCAGGAGAGAAATGTTGTTGAAAGGTGCCAACCTGCTAGCCTTCCTTAGTTTATTTCAGTTTATGCAGAGCCACAAAACAAACACTTCACATATAAATGCTACTGACTCAGTGCTCTCAAAAAATGCAGGAGAAAATAAAAGATAAACATTTTCCAAATTAAAGCATTAACAACTCTTCTCAGCAGTCTCCAAGGAGACTGATTAGAGTAACACATAAAATCAATTTTGTCTACTAGTACAGCCTCTGAAAAACTGAAGGAAATGGCAGCAAAATAAATATCCACCAGCAGCCTTTTCCTTGTGCATTCCCAGCTGGGAGCTGTGTGGCTGCAGCTTTGCTCACACAGCACAGCCAGTCTCAGCATTTCACTGATTTTTGTTTAATTGCACTGTTCCAAAGAGTAAATAAACATTTTGGTCAGTGGTGCCCAGCAAGAATCCAGTGCCAGTGCTGGGCAGGTTTCAGGTGGGCAGAGGAGCACTGAACATCCCTGGCTGGCAATCTCACTGTCAGCACCCTCCTCCTGGTGCTGTAAAACAGGCTAAAATTCAGGAGAGAGCTGCTCTGGAAGAGAAAGCTGCAATTTGAACTGCCCTGGGAAGTGTTACATAAAACAGTGACACTCCTGAGTACAGCCAGGCTGCAGCTTAGACCCCCCTGTGCTTCCTTCAAAAGCCAAAACTGCATTTCTGTATGAGCCAAGGGAGTGCTGTGTAAAGCACAACTCCAACTAAGCTCCTCCATGGTAATTCCAGTAAGGATGTCAACATTTATAAAGCACTGCTGAGTTAAATTGTAACAATTACATCTTATATTGAAAAACCATTTGCAGTAGTTTTTTCAATATTTTTACTTACCAATTTCCTAAAAAAAAAAAGAAACTCAACAAATACCAAGCAGGAGTGTTAAATGTAAATCAAAGAATCATAATCAGGATCTTTTAAGTTAACTAAGAGCCTTTAACACAGCACACTCAACAAGAGATGACAAGCTATGAGTCAGACTATCAGATGACTCAACATTGCACTGAGTGCAAAGAAACATTTTTTTTCCCAAGGTTTTGAAACATTCCACCAAAACACAATCCATGCAAACAGGAGAGAAGCCCCATTATTTCATCATATCCAATCACTCCCACTGAGCTGCTCACAAACCAAGCAGGTACAGGCAGCATTGCTGAGGCAGCTGCACCTATTTCCCGTGAATAAACCCAATTACTGGGGCTGTTACATAACCACAGTCAGGAGAATTCCTGGTGCAGGCAGCACTGCAGGCCCAAAGCAGGAAGGGAGATGATTGATCCAGCTCTCCTCAGGCACCTGAGAGCCCCAGACTCACCAGAGTAGGAGAGGCCAGCAATCTGCAGGAAAAGGTCCTCTTCAGAGAAACTCTCTGGCAGCATGAGGAAGGATGCCAGCACTGCACTCTTCAGGTTGCTGACAAGAGCAGCCTGCAGCCTGCTGTTCTCATTCTGGGCCAGGATTTTTACCTGGAAAAGCAGAGACATTAGGAAGCAAGACCACAGCAAAGTGCTACTGAAGCTGGAGCTAGAAATGTTATTAATTTTCATGCTGGATTGAGTTAGAAATTAATTTAAGAGTAGATCTTACTAGCATGGTACAACAAGCACTAGAGTATCCCCACCATGTGAGACAAAACAATGTGATTTTAAGAATTAACACTGCTAGAAAAAGCTGTTTTCACACACTGGTTTGGAAGTGCTGTATGCATCAGACATGAACTAATCTCTGAAGAACTGGTCACCTTTTTGTACTTGTGAATTTAAGCTTAATCAGAACAGGAAATATGAATGCATCAACAGATGTGTGATTGTGCAATAAGAAAAAAGACTATAATAAAGAGAACAGAACACCAGACATAAATAAGTTTTCCTATTCATCTTCATTCCTTTTTTTTTTTTTTTTAATAGAGAACTCCCCTATCAAATGCTTCAAGCAGTTTCTCAGCCAGGGGCTGTCCTAGAGGAAGTAGGGCTTTATTTTTGCATTTTGCTTGAGGGGATCTTCACTTACCCATGAGGAACAGATCACTTGAATGCCTCTACCTGCCACTAGAAGTGTTTATTTTTAGGAAACATTGAAACTGTTCAAGACCAAATAGAGAATCCAATCACCTAGGGTATGGAAATACATTGAAATAAAAAGCAGATCTTTGGGAAGAACTGAAGACACAAACACTGGCAGATGAAGGGAAGCTGGTTTGGGAGATGGATAACTGTGCAATTCCAGAAACAACTCCCCTAGGAATCCCTGCTTGCTGGGAGTTTGTCTTTTTCAAGGGTTCTGGTTAAGCAATCCTGTCTTGCTTATAAAAGGCAGCTTTTAATATTTGTCTACCCTAAAACACCTTTGTGAACAAAGGTATTCCTCTTGCTTTTTCTCAAATCTCATCAAACAATTCACTTAGATGTACATTCCTAGCTTGTTGCTACAGGGGAATCTAAGGGAAGCCAGAAGAGGAAAATCTGTGGTGGCACCCCAAGCAGTCACACAGGTGACTGCAGTACCTCAGGATTGCCATGGAAACATCAGCAAGTTATGGACACATTAAGGACACCACAGTCAGAGCCTTTAAAACACAAAACTCAGCAGAGATGCTGTTCCTCCTCATGGAAGACACCTTAAAGAAGCAAAAGGAATAACCTCTTCCTTTTCTAAACCACCCCCCCAACACAAAGCAGGATTTTTTTCAGAGTGCAATGGTTATCCCCCTGGTAAAACATGAATGTTGGTTCTTGGGGTAAATCTGACAGAGCACCACAGTGAAGGAAGGCTTTTTCACAGTACACAGAATTTATATTCACCGTGCCATGCCACAAATCCAAGCAGCAGCAAAGGCAGTTGCACTGAAAACAGCCATTCACCATTCACTGCTGAAGTGTCATCCAGAATTTTCCTTTCACTTATCTTTCTCAGTGGATTAAGTTTCATCCTTTACAGAGATAACAGCTGCTCTAACCTGGATCATGCTGTAATTCATCTCTGCAGATAAAGCCAGCAGTCTGAGACAATCCATTCAAACTTTCACTCCAAGTTTTTTAGCTAAAACATAATTAACTGCTCTTCCAAGACCTGAAGAGATTTCTCCTCCAACTCTCCCCCTCCACTCATAACAAATTTTCCCTTAGCACTGCTGCCACCTGCTGAAAGCACAACGAGGCAGGCACAAGGGGGAAAGCAAAGATTATTTTTTATGGCTCATTCAATTATGAACCAGACAGTAACTGCACAGCAAAGCTGCTTTCATCTTTAAAGATTTCCATTCCTTAGCTGTGTTAAATTTTGGCCACCTCTATAACCTGTTATAAAAGGCAAATAATATGTTTAACATTAAAGGGACTTGGCATTAATAGAGTTACTCAAGATTTACTAGAGGCAGAAAACTGTTATTAATAAACTCCCCTTTAGGGGTTCTTTTTCCACAGAACATCATTAGGAACTCCATTTCACCTCCTCTCTCAGAGATTATCCCTCTGGGGCTGCATCCCTAAATCTGGGCAGATTATTTGAGCACAGATCCCTACAGATAAAGCTCAAACCCCAAGAGATTCTTTCCCAGCCCTGTAAATTCCTGCATTTGCAGAGAGAGCAGAGCAGTTACCGGCTTCTGCAGGCGCCCAGCCACATAGAGAGTGTTCCAGTGAAACAGATCCTCAATCAGGGCATCAGTGCTAATCACTCCATACTTTATCATCTGCAAAAAACAAAGCACAATAAAGGCTTTGGAAAAAACTTATACCTGCACTGTTTTCCCTACATGGAACATAGTACTTGCTATAAATGTCCTTAATCCTAAGGCACACATACCTCCCACAAAAAACTTGAAAACATTTTTATCTTTTAATTAACACACAAGGTAAAAGAAAAAATCTCCCTCCTATTGACATTCCAACTTCTGCAGGGAGAAAATGGAATGCATGAAACTAAGATCCTTTCTAGAATCAAAGCTGCAATAAAGTCAACAGCCAAACATCACCATAGCTAGAATAATCCACATTAGCCTTTATATTAAAAAATATAGTAAAAAATTATATTTATTAAAATATTTTAAAATATTCAAGCAATAGTTTGTCAAAGACTTATATCCTGTTATTGGGAGGTGGGGTGTGTATCAAGGAGTTTTTTCTTTTGCTATTTGATGTTAAGAAAAAAAACCCTGTGATTTTGCAGCTTATTTTATGTAAGTGGACTTTCCACAGTTTGTTACCACTCTGCAGTAGCTGAATTTCCAAAGATTATCACCACAGCAAGGCAGGCAGCTCCAGAATTTCTGGATACCAAAGAAGCACAGGCTGTGATATGACTGAGTCATTAGAACATAAGAGCAGGGCATGAAGAGCCAAGAACACAATGTCATGGCAAACACCACTTCAAATGAAATCCCAAATCTCTTTTTACAACAAATTAAGGTTTAAACCTTAAAACCTCATAGAGGGACAAGAACAGCAAGACTGACAGTGTTTCCCTCACTCCTCCCTACCAGAGAGAGGTGCAGGAACAGAACTGCTGGGCAAGAACCACTCACCAGAATCATTGATTACACCCAAGCCTCACAGGTCAGGATATGAGGCACCAAACAACACAAATGGCAATTCCAGCTTGCTGTGGTAAATTGCATTTTATATCCAACAGCCCACTTTGCTGTGACTACATGGTCAACTGCTGACATGAAGCACCACCACCAAAACTAGCAGACAGAAAGCAATAAGGAACATAAATCCAGTTCCTGAAATGCTTTAGCTCGAAGTTCCAAACACTGCTCACACTCCCAAGGTGCAAGACAGGCTGCTCTGTTTCCTTTTCAATTAAAATGCTATTAGTGATGCAGTTTGAGACATAAATATTGAAGATACCACGAGTTAATCTACAATTACAATCTGCAATATTTACTTCCTGAAAAATGCTTTAAGCTAATCATTTTAATACTTCACAGACATAAATATTTGACTCCATTCACTCACACTACTCGTACTTACCCTGCCATTGCATGGCACTAAGGTGTTGTAGTAAATCCCTGCTCCATATCCCTGGATGGTACTTATCTTTTTGGGCCCAAAAAATTTAAGGAAGGAATAATGACTCCTGTTCTTTGACAAGTTTGTCATATGCCAGGTCACAACATCATCAACAGCAAACACAAAGTCCAGCATATTTGTCTGAGGAGAACAAGAATGGTGGGGTTTAAATGTCAAGAAGAACTAGTGTCATAATAATTTAAGATATACACAGTATCGAACTTCCAGCTAAATATTTTTCACGAGGAAAAAAATAAAAATAAAACCCAAACCACAAGTATTAATGTCAGATACAGTTGAAAGGTTCCAGTGAAGTTGTATGTTTATTGTCAAGTGTATCAGACAGTCCAAAATTTTCCTGTTCTGGTCAAGACCAAACTTCAACCCTGCAGAACAGGGGAGCAGGTGTGACATGTTCACACGCTAACCCACAGCTCAGTGGAACAGCTCACAGTGCCAATGAACAGAACTTTTTGGCCATCAGTGGGGGAATGTGGGCAGATAAAGGCACCACCCGAGAGCTGCCAGCAAGGAACCGCATTTCTAGGATATTCCTTTGTAGTGTATTCCTTTGCTTTTCTCAACAAAACCCCAAAAATAAAAATAAACATTATTTCCAAGCTGTGGCCCTCAGAAGATGAGGAAGCTCCCCAGACTGCCATTTCAGCGCGGCTATACATTCGAAATTCCCCTCATACGGTGCACAGCAGTTCACGACATGCAGTAGCTGTAAAAGCAGAGATAAACAACCTGACACACACCGGGCTGAGAGGGACCCCGAGCCCCCACAGTGCCAGCCCCACTGCCGGGACCGCCCCGGGCTCGGCCGGACACCCGCCCCCGCCATTCCCGGGGTTTGGGATCGCTGCCCCTCGCCGTTCACAGCCGCAGGGCCGCAGCGGCTCCGGCGCGCGGAACGCCGCGGGGCCCGAGCCTCACCTCGCCGTGCTCGGCCGAGGCCCCCGCCTGCCGGAACACCCCGGAGCCGTAGGCGAAGGCAAGGCTGAGCTCCTGCGGGAACTGCGCCAGCACCCGGCGGAACTTCACGGCCGAGCTGGACAGCACGGGCAACGCCATGGCCCCGGCCGCGGGCCCGCCCGGCCTGGCCCGGCCCGGCGCTCCCGCCCACCGGCGGCGGCAGGAGAGGCCGCGATGGGGAGCGAGAGCGCCGCGCTGCGCCCCCTGCGGCCCGGCCTGGGCATGGCGGGCTGGCTGCAACGCCGGGGCTGGGGGGCCGGGGGCGGCTGACAGGGACCCGCTCCGTGTCCCCTCGGTGCTCAGCGTCCCCTCAAGTGCTCCTCTCAGTGTCCCCTCGGTGTTTAGCATCCCCTCGGTGCTCAGCGTCTGTCCCCATGGTACCCTCAGTGCTCAGTGTCCCCTCAATGCTCAGTGTCCCCTCAGTGCTCCACTCATGGTACCCTCAGTGCTCCACTTAGGCTCCCCTCAGCGCTGGCCTCAGGGTCCACTCATGGTCCCCTCAGTGCTCCCCACAGTGTCCCCTCATTGTCCTCTCAGGGTCCCTTCAGGCTTCCCTGAGGGTCCTCCCAGTGCTCCTCACAGGGTACCCCCAGCATCCCCTCAGGGTCCCCTCACTATCCCTTCATGGTCCCTTCAGACTTCTCTGAAGGTCCCTTCATTGTCCCCTCACTGTCCCTTCAGGCTTCTCTGAAGGTCCTCTCACTGTCCCCTCACTGTCCCCTCATGGCTCCCTCAGTGCTCCCCACAGGGTACCCCCAGGGTCCCCTCACTGTCCCATCATGGTCCCTTCAGGTTTCTTTGAATGTCCCCTCAGGGTCCCCTCATGGTCCCTTCAGGCTTCCCTCATGGTCCCCTCAGTGATCCTCACAGGGTACCGCCAGCATCCCCTCAGGGTCCCCTCACTATCCCTTCATGGTTCCTTCAGGCTTCTCTGAATGTCCCCTCACTGTTCCTTCATGGTCCCTTCAGGCTTCTCTGAATGTCCCCTCACTGTCCCCTCAGGGTTCCCCTCAAGCTGTGCTGTCCCACCAAACCAAGCACAGTGAGGTGATGCTCACCATGTGGGCCTAACATTTAGTCTTCCCCCCCACCACTGCTTCATCTTAATTTATTTAGCTCATTACAATTCTGCACCCCTTCTTCGATTGTTTTTCCTCCTCTTTCTTTTTAATTTTTTTTTTTTATAAATTCATATTTAATTCTGTTCCGAGGCTTTCCTCAGGACTTGTTGCCGGCGTTCCAGTTCTTCACACATCCCCCAGGGAACACAAACACAAACCCACAGCGTTTAATCATCGTGGCTGTGCTCAGGGCTGTCTCACGCTCTCCTTGTGCTGAGCCTGCCTTGGTTTGAATGTTCAAGTCCTACACAATAAACCTGTCTGGGCTCTGTGTGAGTGCTAAATGTATAAATGGGCCTCATGAAATTGAAGCGTGTCTTGTTCCCTCATGATTTTACACTTGCCTGCATCTGGTACCCAAAAATCACATTTTATCTTCCTGTGGTTTATGGCTTTCAAAATTCCCTGCCTGAGGTCTGAGGGAAGGCTGGTAGTCAGAGATAAATTTATGCTCTCACTAAATTCCAAACACAGTAAGATTTTTAGACATCACTGGGCTCACAGTATCTGATGAAAACAAATATGAAATGTTCTGTAACTTTGTTACACCCAAGAAAGTTTGATATAGACAGCTAAGCCACCATCTATACAATTATTATTCTGAAGACAGATAAACATAGGACAAATGGTGCAGTGGGAATTTTGGGAGAGAGCACCTGAAGCAAGAGAACAATCCTTGTATTGGCAAACAACGTAAAACTTTAATGAGGTGAGGCAGGTTCCACCATAAAACTGCACCAGAGCTCTACTTTTCTGAGCTTTTCTACATCAAATGATGCAGCCAGAGAGACCCTTCTGAATATTGACTTTCAGAGGAGAAACCATAGCATGCTAGGAGGAATGTGTTTATATTAGAAATAATCACATTATAGCTAATGAATTTTTATTATTCTGAATAATAAGGTCCCAAAGGTGCAATTATGGCTGGGGTTTGGAGACTTTTGTTCTCCCCCAGGATTGTGATTCAGTGCCCAGTAATGTCTCTGAACTGATTTAACTGCTCATAAGTCAGATCATGGACCTTGTTCTTTCTTTAGTAAAAGTATTTTAGTTATTAATGGTATTAAAAGCACATTGATATTAAATGCTACATGAATATATTAAGTATACATATATTATGTATATTATATACATATATATATATATATATATATATATATACATACATACATGTATTAACTATAATTAATAATTATTATTTAAATACTTCCTGGCACACAATATAAAGAACAGCAGATTTTTTGAGCTTACATTTTAATTTTCTTCCTGTTTCTTAGGTTAGCCAAAGACTTTGCATTACTTTTTAAAAAATGATCTAACTCTACAGACCAATTTATGGAAGTACACACATAAACACTTTGGTGATATAAGAAACTGGTATTGCTTGGCTGGCTCTTTTTGGCTGGTTATTTAGAAAACTTCATGCAAAAACTTTCAAATAGCTATACTGACTTAATGGTCAAGTTTGTTTTCTAAATTCTATTCACCTTTGCTGCTATAAAGAAGTCTAATTTTATTAAATCAAAATAGAAGCTGAAGGCCTTTATATATATTGTTATGGATAGTATGGAACTAGGATACACTCATTCTAATAAATAATAAAAAAAGGGGGAAGATTCTTTGAAAATTAACAGGCAGGTAACCTTTCAGAAGGAAGTTATACTGCTAGCTGACATTAAAAATTAAGGTAACAAAGCAAACTTTTGAGAGGGTATGATACCTGGGGCATTTTTCCTTGGATATTTGTATTAGAGAAAATCTAATATAGATTTTCTGTCTATAAAGGGAAGAAGTTGCTCAAATATTGCAGAATAGTCCATCTCCACCTTTACCTTGATAGCTCAAGTTCTCTCATTGAGACTTTCAAGGTGGATTTTTTTCAGAAAACTTAAAGGCTTTGCTTTTCAACTTGCTCTTTGCTATTCTTCCTTACCTGACTTTTATGTATTTTAAGCTAAGTCTAAAGTTTGTTCCTTGCATCTACTGCAGACTTTTAAATTGATTTTGTTTCCAGCAGCACAGGCAGTGTGGAGATGAATTGTCATCTGGGATGAAGCTCAGAGCTCATCTGAAAGTTTATGTAAAGCTCTGTTACGTCTCATGCTGATTCTGAACTTGGCCTCTAATCTGTTTTTCAGTGGAAGTTTTGCTGTGCTAACTTTGGTAAGAAAGCCTACAAACACCAGAAGGTCTTCAGTCTGATTTTCACTCTCAGCCAGCACTGCTGATGAAGGGAGCAGTTTTCTCTCCCTGCTTCTATCAGTGTAGGTGTTTGCGTGGCTGCAGATCAGAACAGATTGGGGAATTGATGTGGGATCAAACCAACTGTTTGGGGTGCTTGGGGCTTGTTAAACCAGTCTGGTTTTAACCAGGTCACTGTCTGCTTCACCACACATGTTTGTGTTGGTATCAACAGGAGAGATGAGATCTCTTCTTCTGTTGACAGTGCTGGTTCAAAAGAGAAAAGTACTTGTTTGGGGTTTTTTTAACAGAATTTTCACACTTAAAATCTTGGCTGTGAGTGATCCATGCATTAAAGTTGTGTAAGAAAGGAAACAGCATTCTGCATATTGCACAGTCTTTTGCTTTTATTCACTCCCTTCCAGCCAAGCAAGTTCTAATACTTACTACAGAGAGCATGACAGGAGTGTGACCTTGAGCCTTTCTTTTATTTTTTGTTAATAAAATGCACACTTTGAATGGCCCCCACATCAATGCATGTTTAGGGTTTTTTTCTGCCTTGCTACCTCTGTGCTCTCCAGCTCCTTAGAGGGAAGGAGTCTCACAGAGGTTGACATTTGCAGCTCGCTGTATCTATTGCACTATAGAAAATTCAAGTTTGGGTCTGCACAGAGTTATCTTAATAACAGCATTTTCAATTAAAAGAATAGATTCACTAACTTAATATGGGAATGTGAGTACTCACAGTCTGTCAGTCCATGAGCTGGTGGCAGTCTGGAGCTGGGCACAGCTCTGCTGTGTGGCTCCCTGTGCAGCTGTAAGGTTTGGGATGTGCTGGGTACCTCACTGACGCTGGCTTTGCTGCCCCAAAATCTGCTCAATCCTCTGCTCTTCCTCTGTGGATCTTTCCCCAGCAAAACTGACAACTTTGTGCCCTTGGCTTTTGCAGCAGTGGGGAATCTGTCCTACTTTCCCACAGCATGTGTCTGTTTGGTGGAGGTGGCAGACTCCTGTGAGTGTGGAGTTGTTTTCTGCCTGTAACCATTAAAAAATTCATTTTCATAGAGTAGTGGCAGCATCTGGAATCAGCAACTTGTGTTGTTTGTTTGAAATTTCTGTGATTGCACTATTTGAAATTCTCCATCACTCCATCTTTTATTTATTTAAAGCATGGGTTCTGGTAATTGTCGCTGGTGCAGCTGCACACACATCTGACTTGGATTGCTGTTTTTATATGCTAACAACTAAACACCACCAGGTGTCCTCTGTTTCTCTACCAGATCTGAATTACCTCCTGGAGATCCTGCTCTGGATTCGAAAATATTCATTTTAAACAAACCCCAGGGGTGAGGGGTGGCACACAACCCTTTTCCTCAGCTTTGATGAGGTTGTGGTGTGCAGCCACTTGGGAGGGGATTTGCACTGTGTGTTACATTTTGGTAGCACAGCTTTCCCCTTCATACCCACAAGCTTTTTTCTGCCCCCATGGCTCATCAGTGTCCAAAGGATCATTTTCCAGCAAAGAGAGAGAAGTAGCTGGCTATTTCCAGGTATCTCTTCCAGATCTGTTGCTGAAAACAGCTCAGCCATCACCACAACAAGCTCATCCTGCTCCTATTTATTAGCAGGAGCAGTTAGTATCAATCTACACATGGATTCTTGCTAGAATAGCTGTCAAGATAATTGAAATAAAAATGAGCATAAAAGTTGGTAAATACTGAAATTTGTGTGTTTTTTCTTGCCTTGGTCTTGTCTTCTTGCTTGTTCTAGTCAGGAAGGGATTTCTGTGACAGACTGGCAATATGTGAGAGAACATATTTTTGCACAGCAACATATCC